TCATTTTGAAGAAGACACCTTGGACTATCAGACCATGGAGGAAAATCAATACAATCCTATTAAAAAGTTTTTACACGCGACCTGGTTTTTCAAAGATCTCCTAGAAAAGCTGTTTTAGAAAACACTTATGAAAACATGCCCCCAAGTCTCCACTTTCTTATGGCGAAAGTCGGAGCTCTCTAGCTGGCTTCTATCAAAAGTTATTAAAAAAACAACGGAGTCCATTCTATTTTGGTACAGACAGTAGTTGTAAGTATTCTTTAAAGAGAACGGGGTTCCAATTTAATGTTTTGTATATTGTCAAATGCTGAATTAATTCCTGTTCATTCATATGAAATGGACCAAATAATGAATTGTAAATATTTGTATGTGACTGGAATACGAACATTAAAAGAAAACATACAAGATATAAAATAAATGTATTAAGAAAATGGTGAACACGTTCATTTTGTTTTAAATCATGCTGTGCATGATGAATTCGATTGATCAAATATGTTAATGGATAAGATTCACGTGGATATAGTCGTTTACGCTTCATCGTTATTTTGAAAAATGAAGTAAAAACGTGAGAACACATATCTTAAAACAAATACTTGTTTGACAAGTGCGCACTCCGCAGTTAACAATAAGATAAAAAAAGAATTCCTGTATATTTTGCCTTTGCTTTCTGTGTCTTTTCTTACTCAATCTACTTCCTTTTTATTGTTTTCTCACATATACTCCCCATGTGGAAATTTTGATACCCTTCAAGATGTGAACATGTGTGGAAATTTTTTGCAATATGTCGTGAAACAGTGCTTTGCACGAGTGAGCACTAGTGCACAGACTCAAAACATGTACCAATGAAACGTGAATGCTAGTAAATTTGTTGCTTTTTTCGTGAATGTGATCGCGAACACGCGTTAACAAGTCGTCCACGGCAGCTTCACGTGCGAACACGCGGGAGCTAGCGTGTAACGGTGTCTTGCTATGAGAACACGCGTGAATAAAAAAAATGTCTGTCGTGAACACCAATTAATTTGTCGTTTTGTTAACGCGTGTTCTCGTATCGAACACTTTTGCTCACGTAACCATCCTTACATGTTTCACTCGAGAACACGCGTGAAAAAAACAACAAATTAACTAATGTCCACGGGTAGCAGGTTTTCTCACTGGTTTTCCCTGTTACATTTATTTTAATTCCCGGTTCCGCAGGCCCTCAAAGGCACCCGCGCGATCTACAAGAATCCAGTACTCTTTAAGAATACTAGTCCGTAGACTAGCAACTGTCATACGTGTTCAAAGACTTCAGAGAGCGAAAGGCACTCAGAAATATTTCCAAGTTTTGTATTTAAGTCTTTGGTAGAGAAAGTGCGCACGACATCATTAATGTCTGCACAAATTCCGCTTTTTTCAAACATTGGTAAATCATGTATTTAAGCGAAGAGGCGCATTCAGTCGATCACTATTTGGGAGGATATGATAGACCTTCGCGACGCTGATTACATGAGAAAGATTAAACAATTCGCTGTTGATTTTGTACAATTTTTTTCTGTTTTCTCGCTTATAAATCATCGATTTTCACGCGTGTTCACGCACTACAGTTGTATGGTCACAGATGAACACACGTGATAAATTATTTGCTGTTTGTGGACGAGGGCGGTCGAAACTTTCCTGTTATACCTAATCCAGAAAAGCTAGAGAGCCTACAGGAGCTACAACTCCATTACGTGTCGATATCTACACACTAGTCTGCTATTCGGATGGGGCTAGGCAGCTGTACACATAGTTATATACTACTGTACTTTGTCTCTGTCACCTGCAGCTCTTCTATCCTACCTAACTCTTCTGTCCCACATAGCTCCTCTATTCTTCCTAGCTCCTCTAGCTCTTTTATCCTTCTTAGCTCCTCTAGCTCTTCTATCCTTTCTATCCACAAACGCTCATTGTTACCTATAAACGCTAGAGAGCCTAGAAAGGCTAGAGAGCCTAGAAAGGCTAGAGAGCCTAGAAAGGCTAGAGAGCCTAGAAAGGCTGATGACGATGACGATGATATCTGTATCTACATATCAAGGTCACATTTACATCCCTCAATCCACCTATAGGTATATATGAGTGTAAAGCTCTTCTCATCCTTCCAGCTTCTCTAGCTTCTCTAGATTAGGTATAAACTCAAGGTTTTGGCCTCTCTGTTGTGGACACGGTATTGAATTATCATTTAATTTATATTAATTGATAATTTATTATCATCAATTATCAATTTTCACTAAAACTGTAATATGTGAACATTCGTGGAACATTTTTCTGATTCGTGTCAACGAGCGATAGAAATATTTTCCGTTTTTTTGTGTGACAGTAATCAGAAACAGATATTGTTGTGCTAAAAACCAACGAATAAAGCCTAGCTAACCTTTTTCAAAACGTTTAACGTTTTTTTAACTGGTTTCTTACCTAATACTGTGCAATAGCCCAACACTCAATTTCTTCCAGTACCAGCTAGAACACCATCAGCTGCAGCTAACCTCGGCATAGTTTTGTTATACAACAAAAAGTTTTCATCTGATAGTTTTTCGGTTATTCTCCATAATTCCTTGAAAGGTGAATGTGAACATTCACCTTTTTCGTCTTCGATTATGTTTTATGAGCTGTCCTGAGCGTTTTCTGAAAATTTCCTTGAGTCAGCATGAGATTTGATCGAGATATAAGGATTTTAATTTTTGGTAGTAACAGGCGAAAAAACGGTTTTTCACAACAATGCATCTGGCGAAGTTATACTCATTTCTGCATAAAAACAAATGTTGCTACTATGCTCAGCGTAGTCGATTACCTATAGCCCATGGCATTTTGAGATTCCCAGAGATGTCTGCTCGAAGATAGACATGTGCTCGGGGAAAGCGAGCCCTGCCCGAACGACGATAGCTAGAGAGCCGGGACTTGCATAATTTTGAAGAGTAACGTTCGAACTATCTACGCATACAAAAAAATTACTAACATTGTATGTTAGTTTTCTGAGAACGGAGCTGGTTTCCCAAAGATCCTCTGAAAACCCGATCTCTGGAATTTTTTCAAAAGTTGCTTCCGCTTGTGAAAAGTTCTGCTCAAGTCTTGGCTATTGAACAGCGAAAACCGCAGGTCTCTTGCATTTTCCGTTAAAAAGATATTTGCGTCGCACTAAAGTCCACCGTTCATTGAAATGGACAGTAGGTTGGAGCTAGGTAACTAGGTAAAAAGGTACATTTAGCTAGATCCGTCAAGTGAATGACCGTCCGGTTAGGTCTGTGTTGGAGCTAGATCCACTCCATAGAGAATTTTTCCCTGGGTACCAGAATATAGATTTCGTTAATGATATTAATGCTGACGAATCTTTTTCTTTTACTTGGATTTCATAAGAGGTGATTCGAAAAATACTATTTTCCGTCGATGCCCTAGTTAAACGTGTTCTTCTATTCTCCAATAAACAAGCATTAAATATTCGTTTTAAGTTCTATGAATAGCACTATTTTCGACGAATAAACAATCCAACCAGATAACTGTAAAATCTTGAAAATAATTAGCAGCGTTAAATAACTGTGACGTGTCGTTATCGACCGTGGTCTTCTACTGAGGGATGGTTATCTCTTATGGGAGGACGGGGAGTTGGAACAAATCAATACATCATACTATAGTTTAATATAAATAATGGTTGATCAAAACCATTCATAATTTCATCTTTATGTTTATCAATTTTCATTACAATTTCAGCATCATTTTAAAGTTGATACGTTACAATATTTTAATACATCAACAGAACTGAGAACATTTTGTAAAAAGGATGAACGAAATGAATTAAATTTATATTTTTTTAAACTAACGTTTAACGTTTTTTTAACTGGTTTCTTACCTAATACTGTGCAATAGCCCAACACTCAATTTCTTCCAGTACCAGCTAGAACACCATCAGCTGCAGCTAACCTCGGCATAGTTTTGTTATACAACAAAAAGTTTTCATCTGATAGTTTTTCGGTTATTCTCCATAATTCCTTGAAAAACTAAGCAGCTTCCTTATGACGTAGTTGACTTTCTTTATTAACACCAGCAGAATTACTTATGTTTTTTAGTGAAATACAAATAGCATATTACAACAAATATTTTTCGGAATTACTACTGTATCAACTTTATAAGGAAAAAGTAGTGGATGATTTTAAAATTAGAAAAATATGTCCTTCTCTCCTACCTATCAGCTCCAATATGGAAAAGGACAAATAAAACAATGTTTAGTTCATCGTGACTTTTAAGAATAAGCATACATTGCCACAATATCAACAGAACAATGATACAAACCAAGTCGATGAAACAATATGAATATTTTTTTAAGACGGAGAGAGTCTTGGCATTCAATGTGCCATTCACAAAAATAAGTATCGTAGCTCGCAACGAAAATAAAATCATCGTGAACTAATCTTGATGTATAGGTATGTTTTCCGGAAGTCTTATAGAGTTTCTGTCAATATACTCTGTAACTGCTGCTTCATTATTTACATAGTCTGTAATCGAATGTGAAGTAGATTTTAGCAGTTGAAGACCAGTTTTAATTGCTAGTCGAAAATTTCGTAATGCATCCTGGAAATGTCCTTGTTTAAAATTAATAACAGCAATATTATTATAAGCCGCTGCTTGGTCAGGTGGGTATTGGAAAATTTCCAACGCTCGATTAAAATTTGTTATAGCTTTATCATAGTCACCACTATTGTAATACAAAAGACCTTGATTATTTAATATCTTACCGACTAATGAATGATCCGCTGTTAACGATTTTGTTATCAAATTAATTGTATCCTCGATTGGAGCTGCACAAGTGTTGGAGGCAGTAGTTGCAGAACGAAGAGTCTGATTGCATTGACGTACTATAACGTTTTCTGTACATTTGGCCACTTCTAATACCATCTCATTAGTGCTGTGTGAATCATTTCTTGTCTTTTTATTAATGTATTTGATTGCCTCATTAATGTAACGGGCTGCATCATCATGTTCACCTCTTTCGCATTCCAAACACGCTAGATTATTAAGAATTATTGATCTGTCGTCGTGCTCTTCAGGTAGATCTTCGAGTAACATAAGATAATATCTTTTAGCTTTTTCAAATTCCTCTAATTCTGCTAAAAAGTTTCCTAACGTCACATATGTTGATACTTCACCTAGTTGTTTTTTTAAGTAATCAGTCAACTCAATACTTGGATCTTTGTCACTTAATTCCAATTCAGCAATCCAAATATTATCATCTTTTGTAATAGATTTAACCTGCCATATTGTGCCAACAGAAAATAATATCTCATTTTCAAATTTCATATGACTAGAGTCTTTAACTGAAGCAAATGGTTTTCTTTTAACATCTTCGTTAATCGATAATTTAAACAGAACCTGTTCGTAACCTTCACGGTCAAAGGTAACAGCGTCTTTAGCACAATACATAGCTGCAACTTTTTCATCTGAACTAGCCGACAAAAACCCGTTCATTGAAACTAGATTGTTGATATTGTCGTACAATATTCGAAATTGAATCGTTGGTAAAATTTTTCCTCGATAGATAACTGACGGTAGTGATTTATTGTTTTCCATGCGTTCTTCGTGTAATCTATGTAACTCATTGTGAATTTCTGTTATAATAAAACGAAATGTAAATAAGCAATCAGGATCTTGTGTTCCTAAAGCTTTATTCGTTAAACACGGACAAAATGTATTGCTTGTATACCATTTGACTGCAGCAGCCGAGGACCATTCACTTCTAGGATATCTAACTAAGATGTATGCTTATTAAGGGAGACAGTGTAGAAAACAGTCAGTTTTCAAGGATGAAATAGAAAAGCTTTTTGTAAATCACAAAGAAAATCCAGTTGGGATTATTTGGATCGCACATAGTTTAGGGGAACAATAAAAGAGATACGTCCAATCAGATTTAAACCTTTTAGCTTAGTTTCGATTCAATTTCATGTGATACGAACATTCTGAAAACACCCGAAAGTCTTTTAACTCGTGTCAAGCATAGTGGAATTTGAAAATTTGAAATTAGATACTCCTACCAGAATATAGATTTCGTTAATGATATTAATGCTGACGAGTCTTTTTCTTTTACTTGGATGTCGTGAGAGATGATTCAAAAAACACTCTTTTCCGTCGATGGCTAAAGTAAACGTGTTCTTTTATTATCTTCTTTTATTAAACAAGCAGTTTCAAATTCTGTAATGAGTTTATTTTGAGCTTTATTGTCCTTATAATGATTGCGACATGCCTTTATCATACTAGTCTTTGAATCATTTGTTATTGGCATACGTAACAAAATTTCAATTATCAGTTGAAACCAAATGAATTCTACGGTTTGTTTGCTTAAAGTTCTTATTGAACTGTTTTTTTCATCTTGATTAAAACAACGAATAGTTGGCAATGCTTTGTTGTATGTGAGATTATCATCATTATTTTGTTCAGATATAAAATCGCTTAGTCCTTTAAAAAGTAAATTTTGATCATGAAATATATTATTTTCAGTTTTTAAAAAATTTTTTTTAAAGCATTCCTGTTGTTGTTCACACTCACAATAAATATGAATCGAAATTATTTCTGGTCGTTTATGTACAAGCGGAATAATCTCTTGAGCTGCTAAATATGATACAATTAGTAAAAATTTCATTTTCTTTTCATTTTGAACCAAATAACTAATACACTGGCATGTGTCATTAAAGGGTTTTAAATTCTTAAATATTAGTTTTAATTTCCTATGAATATCATTATTTTCGACGAATAAACAATCCAACCAGATAACTGTAAAATCTTGAAAACAATTAGTAGCGTTAAGTAATTCCAATGTGTCACTGTTTTTGGAAACAATGCATCTAAAATTAAACCAGATTGAATTATCAAAAGTTCAACAGACTGTGGTCTCTATTAAAATACCTTCCCGTTGGTATTCTAAATGGCCCATCCATTGTCTACAAATAAAGTTAGTCGAATCTATAAATAATTAAAAATTAGATAAGTGCAGCTAAAGTTGTGTAAAAATTGTAAGTTTTACAAAAACGGAAAATAGTTTCAGAAAAGCTTTTCTTGGTTCTCTTTATTATATTTACATTCGCATTTCATAAAAACGCATAGTAACAAAGCGCGACAAATCAATTTGACAGTCAATTCTTCATGTCACGTACCAGTATAGATCGTCTCTACTATTGGATAAGAGTTTTGGAACTCAAAACATAATTCCTTTTTGCATGAACCACAGATTACTCGATATTGTGAACCATGAGTCACGTCTAGGTTCGTATTCATGCTAAAAAATCAACACCGTTGTGCTCTATTTGTAAAGTCTCCACTCTTCTCTTATCTTTCTTTAAACTAATAGCCCCTAAGAGTTTTGGGTTTTCAGAAAAAATAAATCAGTTAACCATCTATGAGAACTTGCAATATGCCTGAGAGATAGGCTCTAAAAAGGCGGTTTCTGGAACGTTTTTGTCGCTCAAATTTACAGTCGAGTATTTTATGAAAATCAAAAGTAGTTGGGTGAGATAGTTTTTTGTAGGGAATGGTTCTATGGTGATTTTGTTTGTTACGAATGGTTATGACACTTCTTTGTCGAGGTTGCTGTCTGACTTTAAACTAAGATTCTTTTTGGCTGATTTTTCATTTGTTAAAAATCAAGTACGATGGAATCAGGAGCAGCGGCTAATTTTATCTATATGTAACTACTTTCATGAATTTTCATTAACAAATTCGGCTGTAAACATTAAAGTTCAAAACGTTTCTTGGAATCCTTTTCACCAAATCAACGAGGGAAGGCCACCAACTGTCCCACCGCTTTTAGGCTGAAACTAAGTGAACAATAGGTAATCGAGCATGCTGATTCCGAATATCACAATGGTTTTGGCATATGGGACTCCGGAGACCTGGGTTTTTGAAAAACCTGATTTTCCCAGCGAAAACAAGAGAAAATAGAAAAATTCGCA